GAATACGAAGTTATAATAAAAACATTGAAAGAAGGTGCAACTGTCTATTTAAACCAAGAAATTCCGTTAGTTTTTCCGTTAAACCAACAAATTCCGTTAGATAAACACTTTTTATATAGAAAGATATATAGAAAGATAAATTTTTAAAACTAAAATAGATAATCTTTTTTAATTCATACTAATGTTCAAACCGATTAACTAAACCAAATCGACCTAAACCAGTTTGGGTCAGTTTGGATCGATTTGGTTCGATTTCAATGATTAAGAGCTTGTTTGAGAGGGATTAAAATCAGATTAAAATTGAAAATATAGCCGTTGGAGTTGACTTTTGTTAGACGAGTGGGACCCAATAACGGCTATATTTTCAATATTAATTGGATTTTAATCATTGTCAAACAAGCTCTTAATGAAAAAATCTCTTTTATTGTATAGGGATATAAGGATATATATATATATATATTGAAAGATAAATTTTTTAAACTAAAATAGATAATCTTTTTTAATTCATACTAATGTTCAAACCGATTAACTAAACCAAATCGATCCAAACTTGGATCGATTTGGTTCGATTTCAATGATTAAATTGTGTTGGTTTGATTTGGAATTTCGACTATGGGTCTAACTCAAAATTAAACCAACTCGAACTATGCCCAGCCCTACTGCCCGCCTCTATAAATAGCCGCCCAGTACCCCCTATTTCCCCCCTCCCATTTGCCGACGCTTCTGGTTTCTCGGTAGCGTCCTCTCTTTCTTGCACCTATACATTGAAATAGATTTAGAGAGAGAGAGGTGGAGCATTTGTGGCCTCTTGTTATAGTTCTTAATCGACGCGGTAAGGTACAATTCTCTCTGTAAAATTTTCTAATTTCTAGGGTTTTTTTAGCCGTTTCAGATCTGACTATAATTCTCCATTTACTCATCGAATTCTATTGTCACATCGCATTAACGCAATCTATGGTCTTAGATTAGGATTTTAAGGTCAATTCTCTAGATGTAAATTTTGTACTTTATTGCTTCAGCGTTTTTAATTTTAACTTAACTTTAGGTTTTTTCGTTGTTTTTTCTTTGCTATTAAAAATTTGCTTGTTTGATGAAAAGTTATTTTTCGGTCAATGCTTAGATTTCAGCGATTGAAGTCGGAATATTTTTTCCTTCTTATGGCGTCATTTGTTCTTGCTGTGTCTGTATGTACCGATGCATGTGCCATGGTTCTAAATAACATTTGTTTAATGATTTCTTTCTAGGGTGACACTTAAGATATTAGGGCGCTTGCGTTTCCAAATTTGCTCGTCAGATTGTCTTTATGCACTCGGGTGTTTTTTTTTTGACAGGGAAGCTATATACGTTCCACGAGTGATTATTGTTAGACCTCTAGTTTATGTTGATTAATAAATTTGCTAGTTCAAGATCTTTCTCATTCCTCAACAACTTGACATGAGTTTGATGATGTCTTGCATAGAAAGTTATTTACTGTTGTTTTCGGAATGTTGTTTATTGAAACTACAGGATAATTAAGAGGGAACCTTTGATATGGCTGTTACTGCTACTACTACTGCCCCTTCTTCTGACATACGATATGGGCCAGATGACCCCACCCTCCCAAAACCATGGAAAGGCCTGGTTGATGGTAAGACTGGGTATCTTTATTACTGGAATCCGGAGACCAACGTTACACAATATGAGAGGCCCGTTATCACTTTGAATGCAAGCTCTGCTGTGCCTTACAAATCTTTGAGTTCGTCAGTTCAAAAGTCTTCTCAAGGTCGCTGCACAGAGAATGATGATGATGATAGATATAACAAAGGTTGCAACAGTGGGTCAATGAAGGTTGCTTCTGGGTCAGGAAGTTATCAGGTACTAATGCAACTGTTTTTAGACCTGTCTTTTATGAGGAGAAATATTCGCAACCATGAACTTAGCTTTGATTGAATCCATGTATTGGTTGATATCCATATAAAGCTAATTTACACTTGGCACATTTTTTGGTGGATCCATTGCCTGTCATATTTGCTTAATGTTCTGTAAGAAATATGCTCAACATTTGTAAAAGGACATTTACTGCTGCTGCACAAGTTGAATTATTCCTCTCTTATTACATCTGTGAATGATTTTTAGAAAGGAAAACTGAATGTTGCAGTGGTGATATTTTGCTGATTTATTTATTTGCCTTCATTTTTGTGTATATTATTGCATTAGTGACATTAACTTTGTAAGGCCTATCTCTCTATGTGTTATGTTGGCATCAGTGTTTAATTTTGGTAACTTCTCCAGATGTAAATTAGAATATTCATCTTCTAACAGTTTTGCTATTCTGTAAGCATACTTCATGGTTTATGAGAATTTTCTTCACTATAAAGATTACATTGCGGTGCGACATATTCAGAGGATCATTATTTATCGTTACCGTCCTGACAGTATTGTCAATACTTGAAGAAGCTCAAAAAGGTTCATTATTGACCAGTTTCAGAGATGATTAATCTCTGCTACCTTTGAAAGTGCATCAAACTTTGGAAGATTTGTTCTAATGATATTATTTGCTTCTGAGTTTGTTGGGTAGAGTCCAATATAATGAATTAAGTTGGTACCATTAGGTTTTTAGTTCTGTGATGCTGATGAAATACTTTTCAGTTTCCTAAAGGTAACATTACAATTATTTATCTGCTCTTCTGATCTTCCTTCTACCTCCACTTATTTGGAGTTCTAATATAATTGGGAAAATCATAACAGTGTTTATGCATGAAAAAACTTGGATGCTTGTTGGTACTTTTGGACTCGCATAGTTTCTTTCTTCTGCATGTCAGTTAGTTTTTACCTTTGTTCCTTTTTTGGAGTTCTAATATACTTGGGACAATTATAACAGTGTTTATGCATGAAAAATAGTTGGATGCATGTTGGTACTTTTGGACTCGCATAGTACCATTAGGTTTTCAGTTCTTTGATGCTGATGAGGTACTTTTGGACCCGCATAGTTCCATTAGGTTTTTTGTTCCTTGATGCTGATAAAGTACTTTTCAGATTCCAAAAAGTGACATTACAAATATTTCTCTGCTCTTCCATTCTTCCTTTTACTTCAACTTGTTTGGAGTTCTAATATCCTGGGGACAATTATAACTGCTTTTATGCATAAAAAATACTTGGATGCATGTCGGTATTTTTGGACTTACATAGTTTCTTTCTTCTGCATGTCAGTTAATTTTTACCTTTGTTCCTTTTTGATGAACTAACCGGTTAAATTTTCTCCCATTTTTACCAGAATGCAAGAAGCAGATCAGATCGTTCACGTGATGATCTGATTGTAAAAGCAAGTTCTGGATTTGGATCATTTTCTTCGAAAGTTGCAGAAAGTGGTTTATCTGCCGATTCTTACCGTCATCGGCATGACATAACTGTAACTGTAAGCATCTATAATGCATTTGTAAACCTGATACTTAGTTGATGGCATGACATAACTGTAACTGTAAGCATCTATAATGTATTTGTGAACTTGATGCTAAGTTGATTGTAAACTTGATACTAAGCTGATGTCTGTCTTAATTGAAGCGATAGTACCATATCCGCCTAGTGTTTTCAATCATTTGGATCAATTTTAGCTTTGGGTAGCAGCCAACCTGACAGATCAATTGTTGAGATGGATTGTCAAAATTGGACAAATATGGCAACGCAAAAATATCTACTGTTGACTAAAACCTAGTAATGGGTGGTGTAAGTTTACCTAGGACATTTATAGATCCAAACTTCGATAACTTTGACGTAGTTTGGAAATATTCTTGGTAGGTATTGTCTCGTTTGCCAATTTACATATGTCCTCACGTATAATCATAAGAGTTAAAAAAATGTGTTTTTATCCTTCGATAGAACTAATAGAAAATACATCATACATTTCCATTGTTGATGTTGGCAGCATTTCTATGGATTTGAATAATATACTGCTTCAGTTGGGTTTTATCAACCTAGATTTAATTTGAAGCATTCAAAAATAAAAGGTTGTTTTATGAGTTTGGTGTCAAAACTGTGGTTGTTATCTAGATTTGTGCACTTTCTCCTGTTCTTTTATGCTTTCTTGTACATACTGGGTCATTTATTGATCTTCTTTATCTATTGCTACACCAATCATATTTATATATGTTTTAACTGCTTTTCTGTACTTCAATAAACTAGGGAGATAATGTGCCCCAACCTTTCACTTCATTTGAAGCTACTGGTTTCCCTTCAGAGATTCTTAGGGAGGTATGGACCTAATTTTATTCTTTTAAATTCTTGGATGTCTAGAAACTTTGTAGGCATTTATAATAAACTGTGAGTCCACTATACTTTTGCAACATTTGTTGACTGATGGAGGTCCAATGTGGAGATTAAGAACTCATTCTTAGTTTCCATTTGTACTTTTTTGTCGCAGGTGCGATGTTTGCTCCGAGGAGCCAAATGTCGTACACTGTGCTGCCCTCGTATGGGGCTTGCATATATTTGGATTGCCCTTTTTTGGTGGACCAAATTTTCTGAAGGGCTTTCCGAATCATCCAAGTTTGTGGCCGGGACTTCTGGCGGTAGTGATTCAGTCTGCCGTTTGGTCCATAAAGAAGAAGAGGCGTCCTCCTACTCTAGCTTTCATCAGTAAGCAATGACTGTCTACATTGTGGGATGATGCTTCTTCTTTCATTGGCTACTCGAATAAGTTGAAAACAGTATCCTTTCAGAAATTTCAAAGCCAGTAACTCTGCTCACAGGGGTTGTTGCGGGTTGGTTTTTGTTTTTTCAGGTTTACCAAGCTGGATTTTCTGCTCCGACACCAATACAGGCGCAGTCATGGCCAATTGCTCTACAAGGTTCCGATGTAGTAGCCATTGCGAAGACAGGCTCTGGGAAAACTTTGGGTTACTTGATTCCTGGCTTTACTCACATAAAGCAACGATGCAATAATCCCAAATTAGGTCCAACAGTTTTAGTGTTGTCACCAACAAGGGAGTTGGCAACTCAGATACAAGATGAAGCTGTGAAGTTTGGAAAATCATCTAAGATATCTTGCACGGTATGGATTTAATGATGTTTGCTGGTTATTTTGGATCAAATAAATTAGTTTTGTTGCTGTTATAAAGTTTCTTTCTACTTATGTTTACTTAGTGACCTTGCAATATGTACATGCGCACACACACATCTATAAACCCTCCAAAACAAAAGAGCACACCATACTTGTGTATGTTTTAGTGTATCATTATGTGTGAATGAATTTTATTGCTGATTCCGGTTCTGATTTGTTGTTCAATGAAGTGTTTGTATGGAGGTGCACCAAAAGGTCCTCAGTTGAGAGACGTGGACAGAGGTGTAGATATAGTAGTAGCTACTCCTGGTCGCTTGAATGATATTCTAGAGATGAGAAGAATAAGCCTCCGTCAAGTTTCATACTTGGTGTTAGATGAAGCAGATCGGATGTTGGATATGGGGTTTGAACCTCAGATAAGAAAGATTGTTAAGGAGGTGCCTACTAGTAGGCAAACGCTAATGTACACAGCAACATGGCCAAAGGAGGTGCGCAAAATTGCTGCTGATCTACTGGTTAGACCTGTTCAGATTAACATGGGAAATGTTGATGAGCTTGCTGCAAACAAAGCTATTACCCAGGTCCATCTTCCTATAAATTTCCATCAGCCCGTGTCATTGCAGTTTATTTTATCTTTATTGCATCGACAGTTGCATATCATTTTTGTTGATTTGGATAATTTGCATAGAATTTTTGACAGCAATTATCTTATATGTCAGTATGTTGAAGTCCTTTCACCCATGGAGAAACACAGGCGGCTGGACCAGATATTGAGATCTCAAGAACCAGGATCAAAGATAATAATATTCTGTTCAACAAAGAAAATGTGTGATCAACTTGCACGTAAACTAACTCGCCAATTTGACGCGGCTGCTATTCATGGAGACAAATCTCAGGGTGAGAGGGATCATGTGTTGAGTCAGTTTCGAACTGGAAGGTCACCAGTGCTTGTAGCCACTGATGTTGCTGCTCGTGGCCTGGACATTAAAGATATTAGGCAAGTTGTTGCTAAATGAATATTGTAAATGTTAAGAAGCAGGATCTCTGGTGTAATCCGAACTTAATGATAGATCATATGCACTTTCTAGGAGAAATTAGATAGGCTAGTCCATAATTCTTTCTTCTTGCCATAAATCTTAGTTCAGCTTATGCATTAGATCTGCACATTCATGTTTCTTAACTGTGTTAGTGTGTCCTGAAAAATGCTGCATTGCATTCATACTGATTCGTTTTTCAACCCTCTTCCTTCGTTAATTTTCTTCTATTGTTACAGGGTGGTAATAAACTTTGACTTTCCCACGGGGATAGAGGATTATGTTCATAGAATTGGAAGAACAGGGCGGGCAGGTGCCTCTGGATTGGCTTTTACTTTTTTCTGTGACCAGGATGCTAAACATGCATCGGATCTTGTCAAAGTTTTGAACGGAGCAAATCAACGTGTCCCCGTTGAAATTCGTGAAATGGCTTTACGTGGAATGGGAAAGGTAAAACGCCAATGGGGTTCAGGCCCTAGCATACTTGGTGGAGGTCATTTTGGACGCTATGATTCTATCAATGGTGGACGAGATGCGGGACGTGGCAGGTATGATTCTTTTAATTTCTGTTGATTACAGTTACTTTTATATTTTTAAATTGGGAAAATCTCAGCATTGGTCCTTATCCTACTGTCTCAGTAGAAAGTTGGTCCCCAATGTCTTAAAAGAAGCAAGTTTAACCTGACGTATTATAGTTGCCTAATCAGCCTCCAACTATAAATATGTCTAAATTTTTGTTAAATCATCATGTTTTTGTTTAGGAAAACATGCTTCACTTAAAATTTCTAGGCACCAAATCAAATTGAGAAACAAAATCTAATGTATGTCGTCTTTATATTATTAGTAAATCTAACGTACAGTTTACGTTGCATTTTGGTTGTCTATGTTTGGCTTGGTAGTCTAATGTATTTGTCTTTATATTGTTATGTATGTGCAGCATTAGGTATGGTGCACGGCGCAGTAGAAGCCCCAATAGAAATTTAGTGTAATGGAATATGCTGATGATTATGGAAGGACCATTTGTGCAGCTCATATGATTCGAGATGAAAAAAATGGCGTACGGGGACTCCAATTATCGATGAATTTTGAGCTTGTGATGGTGCATTTGTTTTCTTAGTTGTATTTTTTTCTTTTTCCTGTTGTATTCTTTGTCCTTGGAACTTGTTATTTGAGTAGTGCTTCAGCTACTGCTGGTGTCATAAAATTAGTGACGGATATATTAGTCTTCATTATACATTTGGCCTCTTAATCTAAAACTGAGCAATCGTTTGCTCGTCTAATTTTATACGAAATTGATTCTATTTTATTCTATACGAAGTTGATTCTAATGTTTGGATAATGTCAAATACAAGATTTTTGCACGGCTATGGAAACTTATATTACCTACTATATATGTGTAGCCTTGAAACCTATGAACAAATGCACGTTGAGAATGTTTGGCATAGCATTTGCTTTTATTTTTACTTTCAGTAGAAAAGTTTTTGGAGGAAGTTATATTAATTTTTGTTTGAAAATTAATATTTTAAATAGCTTTCTATTCCGAAAGTGATTTTAAAGTCACATTAAGGGTGTGTTGAGCTATATTATTTTGAAAAAATATATTTTGGAATAGTTGATTGATGTGATGAAAAATATAATTTTACTGAAGAATGCGGTTGAAAATGAGTAAAAGAATGAAAATGAAAATTTTAATGTTGCTCAAACATGAGCTAAATTAATTTTTTTTTAAAAGTTCTAACTATTCACAAAATTAACTGACTGAGTTCAAAAGTAACTTTTGTAAAGGGGTCGCACGCTATGCCATGACCAAGCTTTCATTGGCCAACGGGGAAGAGGAGCTCGACTGGGAGACGTCGAAACAATCTCCAACGGTTTAACAACTTTGGAGGAACGTATCAGTGGACCAAATGTGAACAATTAACAATTCTAATCAAAGAAAAAAGACAATCATCATATGCCAAATCTGTTGCAAAGCCAATTATTCTCTGTTGGACTGTCGGAACCGCTTTGATAATTCATTCCGGCCCCGAAGATCATCTCCAAAAAGCATTGGTTTCCATGAACATTCAAAACGATGAAATCCTCTATACTGATTCGAGAGCAATGACTCAATATTTTAAATAATCTTGGCAGGGATGGCCATGCGATTTTGGGTGCTCTACGGTATCTTTAAATATGGGGCTCCTATAAAAAATATGTATATAATAATTAAAAACAAGAGCTAAGGTCCATCAAATTGGTCTCAAAGATTAGCAAGGGAACCAAACCACTTCCTCTTTTACCCCAGGGCAGACACAGACATTTTGAGTTAGAGGACACTATCAAACATACCTTGTGTAATTTTACATCCGAACATGGGTTTTGACTTTTTCGTATGTAAAGTTCGAGAATTTTTTATGTCATATCTTATGTAAAATTTCTTAATAAAATGATGTAAATTATATTAAAAAAATTGTATCGCAAAAATAATAAGTGAATTTTTTAAAGAAAATACGATTTGACGCCTCTTTAATTATTTTCGATATCTGTTTAGACCATTCGATATACCTATGATGTAATTCTCAAAATAAGTTTCGGATGACATGCAATTTTTGAATTTAGAATGTTTTTGAAATTTTTGAAATATTAGTTTGAAACGACCTATTTTGACAAGACATAACATTTACTACGGTTGACCGTTTCGTGCGACATTAACGACGTAGGAAACTAGACTATGAACACTTCGAAATGATATTAAGAATTCAATATTTCTATTTCGTTGGGCATACCATAATGACTTTGAAAATTGAGACAAACATAGAAAATAAAAAAATGGCCCCAAAGTTGTGGGTCACGTGACCCCTCACCCCCTGCGTCCGCCCCTGTGTACCCCTCATATCCAAAGAAACTTTCCCGTAAATAATAGTATTCGAAGTTATTAAAATAATAATTTAAAACTTTTGAATGTTTGAATCTCTTCTTGATTTTTTGATAGAAAATCAACAATTATACTATTACAATCAATCTATTTTAAATCCTCTTTTTTAATAGACACCATAGATAATCCATTCAACCTTCCTTCTTGTTGATTGAATGTAAGATTTTATCAATTTCAACTTTGAAAAGCTCATATCGACATATGCAACTGTAACTAGTACAGTTAATATTATTTTATAAATAATCCATACATTTGAAAATAACAGCCTATCATTTTTATATAGACAACATTTCAGTGACCTTTTTGGTCTTTTTGACGAATAGTTTCTGACAATTTGCAGCTTAAAAAATAACTCATGCCCATCAATATTAGAATACTTGTCATGCTTCAAAAAGTTTTCAAGGTTATCACATCATTATTTCAAACAATTATTATTTACAGTCTGTAAACCTTTTCATTCAAACAGAAACTTAACAGTGTTTTCATATTTTTTAAATTGTTCAAACCTAAACTTAAGTTAAGAAACAATTTGATCTACTATATATAAGAAATAGAACTCTAAAAGATTCTTCAACTGAATGTATTATCTCATCATTGACATTTTTATCAAAGTTCTTTATAGGAATAATAATCTTTTCATTAAAAGTAGGTTCAACTTCCATTTGAGAAGTAATCTTGTCGGATTCGAATTAAATTTCTCTATATATGTCAAAAAATGAAATAAGTGTTTTCAAATGATTAATAATAACATCGATAGATATGATCTCACTTTACAACATTTTGCTTACTTTATTAATAATTGTCATATATTGTACCAAACAACCACATTACGTGAACTCAAAATTCATAATGTCATAAGATAAACTTTTAGCATTTCTAAATAACTTAGGGTAATTAGCGGCTTTTATTGCGGAGCTTGAAATATGATCGCTTTGACACTTCCAATTACATTATAGAAATTGATATTACCCATATAATACTATCAGTATTACCGTCAAAGAATGTAAATGTAAGCTATAGCATTGTAAAGAGTTGAATTTGGAGATAGGGGTGTCAAACGGGCCGAACGGCTCATCGGCTTGACTACTCGGCTCGTGGACGGTTCGAGCTTGTCATTGCCTAGCGGGGTGGGCTTACCCCACGGATTAATACTCGTGGGCGAGCCCACGAAAAAGTGACCGACACGGTCACTTTTAAAAAATTCATTGACCGTTGCAAACGGTCACTAAACAATTTCAATGATCATTTGCAACAGTCACTGAATTTTCAAAGTGGCTGTTTTGGCCACTTTTTTTTCTTCTTGTTTTTTTTACTCTATAAATACCCCAACCAATTTTCAAAAGTTTTCACACAACATTCCAACAATTCTCACTCTCTTCTACATCTTAATCTCACTCTCTTCTACATTTTCATTTTTACCTTCAACTTCAATTATTCAATATCAATTATCATTTATCACACTACAACTTTGCAATTACAATTTTACACATCAAATTTATTTTAATTCTTGATTTCTTTCCATAATTTATTATACATTACATCACAATTTGCAAATGGATCCACACTCATTTGTTGAGGCCTTGTTTGGAATCGGAGGCGAATCACCTGTGACGCCACAAAGTCAATTACAGAATGAATTTTTCGCTCTAAACTAAGTACTTATTCTTGAAAATATTCTAGAGTTGCATGCTCATGGAAGTAGTAATCCAATTGATTTGGATAACGTTGATGTTCCCGAAGCGAAACATGAGAATGAACATGTATTAGATATTCCCGATGCAACGAAAGGGGAAAAAAGGCAAAATGTTGGAATCACTTTAAATTGATTCTGACGGGTCGTATCGTTGATGGAGTCTCAGAGTCTAAAGCAGTTTTTAAATATTGTCAACAACGATTGATATGACAAAAAGGCATTGATACTACCCATCTCAACTGTCACTACAAAGCATGTGCGGCCAAACATGGCCTTCTTGTTGCCGGTCAAACACAACTGCAATTTGGTAGTCGAGGCGTCGGTTCTATTTTTTGGTCACTTTCCACGTGGATATATTCAGAAGAGAAAGCTCGACTGAGAATTGTGCAATTCGTTGCCATTGCTGAGTTGCCTTTAGCAATAGTGGACAACCAATATTTCGTCGTGTACGTGAAAGAATATCTTCAACCGAGGTCGTTTGGGTAAGTCGAAACACTTTACGTTCAAATACAATTAAATATTTTCTTAATACAAAGAAATAATTACCGATTTACAAAAATATGTGGGTGTTATATCTTTAACCTCTGATATATGGGAAGTGATTAATAAAAGAGCTTACATAGCTACAACTGCACACTACATAGACCCACTTTGATGTTTGCATAAAAAAATATTGCTTTTAAAATTATTGAATTCTCACACAACGCTAACAATATATATAACGCTATTATAAATATTATTAGAGAATATCGTTGTAAGAGTAAAATTCGTTCTTTTACATTCAACAACGCTAGTGTTAATAAGGTAGTTAATGAAAAATTGTATGGGGCATTACAGTCTGATTTCAGTGGTTATTTGTTTCATATTCGTTGTGTGTGCCATATTTTTTATTTAATTGTGTAGGATTGTTTGAACATATTAAGAATGAAATTCAAAGTATTAGAGATATACTAATATATATTACTATTTCACCTAATAGAAAACAAGTATTTGAGAAATTTGTGAGGAATTTGGGGTGACGAATACAAAAAATATTTGTTAGTGACGTATGACATAGATGAAACTCTACTTATTTATTATTAAAATTATGCGAATGTTTTGAACATTTAATAATTGAATTTTATAATAATATGCATATTAGAAACGATGATGAAACTATTTTGTATGAAAACGATTGGATTTTAACTTTTAAAATTAAAATTTTTTTGACAAGTTTTTATGACTCCACAAATATTTTATCTGAACTTTACTATCCCACTAGTTGTATGATGCTTGAATGTCTTTATATAATTGAAATGGCTTTTCACAAATACAAAAAATGACCTCGATTTTAGTGCAATTATATATTTCATGAAATTAAAGTTTAGAAAATATTGGGA